TGGCACTGCCTGTGGTCCTCCCTGGCTCCCCCTGGCACTGCCTGTGGCCCTCCCTCCCTCCCCCCTGGCACTGCCTGTGGCCCTTCCTCCCTCCCCCCTGGCACTGCCTGTGGCCCTTCCTCGCTCCCCCTGGCACTGTCTGTGGCCCTCCCTGGCTCCTCACTCCCTTTGGAGGAAGGGCCTGGTTTCCTCCAAGAGTCTTCTAACCTCTGTATTTCCCCCTGGGATCCATTCTGTTTCCCCCAGATTCAGACAAGTGTGTCCAGCCCACGGAAGAAGGGGGGGAAGAGAGAGTAGAGCAAACTCTGTGTGCTCCTCATTCGGTTCCGCTGTCTGATTCCACTGTAAGAATAACGTACCTTCCAGCCACCTGCCACTTACCATACAGACCTCCACCCCACTGGCGATAGCAATGCCTTTGCAAAATTCCCAGTTAACTTAGCTCATCCTTCTAGCACCAGCGGGAAGTCACTGGACTTGTGTTAAGTAAGACTTTAAAGAACATGAATCTGAGGGCTGACAGTGTAGCTCAGTAAACAGAGTGCTTGCTGCGCATGCGTGAAACCTACAATAAAGGCAGATTAAAATAGACAAACCCAGTAAATAGTGTATGCTCGCCTTGAGCTTTTAAAGCTCCAGCCTCCAGCTCCCTTGAGCTGAGATTACAGGCTTGAGATACTTGGTTTATGCAGTGCTGAGGGATTGAACCCAAGGTTTCACGTATGCAGAGCAGGCACCCTGTCAACTGAGCCACACCGCCAGCCTGAATAATCATGTTCTTTAAGGTCTTCTTTAACGTAAGTCCAGTGACTTCCCAAACGCTCCCAGAAGGGTGAGCTAAATGAACTGGCAGCTTTGCAAACCCATTACTACTGGACAAACAGGAACCCCAGGTACATGAGGCCCAGAATTCTGTTTTCTGCCTTCCCTTTGTTTCTTTCCCAATCTCCCTTTGTTTTGCCCACTCACCAGTCTCCTGAAGGACTGTAGGACCCAGAAGGAGGGGCAAGGACAGCAGGACAGGTACCATCGCTACTAGTGCCTGGGTGGACAGTCTCCACTGGAAACCCAGCTCTTTCCCTGAGGCCTGGCATCCTGCCTGGGGGAGGTGATTCCACAGCCAATGAGAGAGCTTAAAGGAATTCCTACCCAGACAGGAAGGGAAATAAGCCACTGGGCACAGGTGTGGTCACAGGGCTTACATGCAGGAGCCGCCAGCTGGAGAAAGCCAGTCTAGGACGGAGAGCCAGCGTGTCCCTCTGGAAGGACTCAGTGGCTGGAGGCCTGTACAGGAAGCGGTAGATGTTCTCATAACTGACATCCCTACCCGTCGTCAGCAGGGGGAACTGGTGTTGTAAGAGCACATTGTAAGAAGGAGAAAAGTTCTCAACATGTCCAAGGCATGGGCCTGGTAGACCACATCTGTGAAATCAGGGAGGAACCTGATTCCAGCTCCCCTTGCTTTTAGAAGAGTTCATTGATTGATCGAGACAGATCTCACGTATCCCAGGCTGGCCTTCCTGTGTGGCTGATAATGGTCCCAACACTGCTCCTTCCCAAGCCCTGGGATTACAGGCGTGTGGCACCACGCTTGGTCTAAGAGGACTGGCGATGGAACTTGGGCCTGCGTGTGAGGCAAGCACTCTGCCAGCTAAGCTATACCGCAGCCTCTCAGTTGACTGTAGAGGTCACGTGGTTGAACAGTGAAGTCTCCCACTGGCTTTGCTGTGAATGCTAGAAAGCCCTCGAAGGTGGTGGCTACGGCTGTGAAGGACCACCCCGACGAATAGCAGGGAGACGGCAATGACCTACTTTACCCCAGATGGCAGGAGGGCTGTGGGGCAGGGAAAAGGACAGGAGGGAGGCAGTCTCTGGTGGCTTCAATCACCCACAGCACAGCCAGCAGGAAACTAACTAACACATTGCTGCCATGTGAGCTCCCAAGCCGGCGAGTTTATTCAGGTTTATTGCATCCAGCACCGGAGATTTGTTGACTTCTTTGGATGATGTCAGGGTTAATATGAGTGTCAGTTTGGCATCAGTGTGGAGACAGGCCTGTGGCATCTCTAGAAAGGTTTTCTAGATGGGGTTAATGGAGATATTAACCCTCAGTATGAATGGTACTACCCTAAGGGCTGCGGACTCTGGCTCAGTGAAGAGGAGAAAGTGAGCGGAGGCCAGCGTGTCCTTCTCTGCTCCCTGACCGTGGATGGGAAGTGATTCATGCTGCTGCCACCATGCCTTCCTCATCTTGATGGAGCGTGGCCTCGAACTGTGAGCCAGGACAAACCCTTCCTTCCTTAGGTTGCATTTGTCAGGTACTCTGTGACAACAATGAGAAAAGTAACTGATGCCACATCTCATCTATCATCTATCTATCATGTATCTATCTATCTATCTATCTATCTATCTATCTATCTATCTATCTATCATCTATTTACCAATCATCTGTTTGTGTGTGTGTTTGCACACCCATACACGAGTGTTGGAAGAGAACTTGCAGGAGTCCACTCCCTCCTCCCACGTGTGTCCTGGAGATCAGACTCAGGGCCACAGGCGTGTAGCAAATGCCTCCACCTGCTGAGCAGTCTGGCTGGCCTGAGACATGGTCTAGTCTGCAGCCCTGGCTGGACGGGAACTCTCTGTGTAGATCAAACTGTCCTCAAATTCTTAGAGCTCTGCCTACTGCCTCCTTAGGGCTGGATTGAAGGCGTTACCGCCGCACCCAGCTGAACAGGTTAACATTTTCATTACATTTGTCTGCAGTGTGCGCGTGTGCATATGTGTGCATGTGTGTATGCCACAGCACAGACGTGGAGTCAGGCAACAGCTCTCAAGACTCAGTCCTCCCTTTTAACCTTTTGGTTGGTGGGGATTGCACTTGGGTTACTAGGCATATGGGCAGGCCCCTTTACTCCTCATCCGTGCCCTCAGGTCCTCAGATAGGGGTTAGTTAAAGACTCAGTGTGGACACATTCCAGTTAAGCGCTGGAGTGTGACTTCCGGCAGCTGGAGCGGCTCTAGCTTTAGCGAACTGAAAACATCGCTGTGTTTACACAGTGCTGCAAGGATGGGGATCTCAGGGTTATTAACCAGGATGGGAGTCACCGACCCCTGACCGTGGCCCCACACTTTACGTTCTCATGTTGTGAGATTCTTGCTGATCCTCTCTGGAGTCTGGAGCACACTGAGTGTATTTGATTTGCACGGCCGAGGTCCTTTCTGTAATTCGTTTCCTTGGGGCTGTGTGTGTATGCCTGTGTGTGTGTGTGCGTTCGTGTGTACCAAAGCATACACACGGAGGTCAGAGGGCACCTTGTAGGGGTCAGTTCTCTCCTGACATTGCCTGGGAGGGTTGAATTCTGGTCCTCAGGCTTCCGTCTGAATGCTCTCACCGGCCCATCGTTGGAGGGTTTCTTAGAGGTGATCCTTTCCCTCGCCTCAGTTTATTACAGTGAGGTACACTGACACAGGGGATGAATAAAGGCTGCTGGCGGCTCATGCCTTTAATCCCAGTGCTCGGGGGGCAGAGGCAGGTGAATCTGTGAGTTCGAGGCCAGCCTGGTCTACAGAGTGAGTTCCAGGACAGCCAGGGCTACAGAGAAACCCTGTCTCAAAAAACAAAGAAAAATACATATAAGGTATGAACACATACACACAATCAATTTGATTAAGGGAAGGGGCAGCCATGCCTTGCTCATGGGTAACTCAGGAGGGTTTCTGGGAAATCTGCCAAAATGGGTTCTGAGTTTTTCCTTTCCCCTGGTCTGGGAAAGGCTCATACTCAGCCTTTCACTCTAAGCATTTAAGCCTTCCCGGTCTCACCCCCTCTCTGTGTGTGAGTGGGTGTGTCCATATGCTCACAAGTGTGAGTGGGAGCATGCCACCACTTGGAAGTAGGTATCGGAGCAGCCTTGAGTGTTGGTTTTGGCTCCTGTCTTGTTTGAGACAGCGCCTCTGTAGTTTGCCAGTGTCCCCAGGCTAGCGGCCTGTGCGGGAGCTTCCAGCATGCTCCTGTCTGACCCATCTCTCTATCAGCAGCAGCACAGGGTGTGCTACTGTGGCTGGCTTCCTGTGGGTTCTGGGGACCTGAACTCAGGACCTTGTAGTTGTGTAGTGAGCATCTTACCCATCTCTCCAGGCTCTAGCAGTTATTTCAGGGCTGACACTCTCCACTTCCTTAAAGAGAAGAGAGAACTAAGGGCTTTACAAACCAAAACCATTTCCCTTTTTCCTCTGAGAAAATTTCTTTTCACTAATGGCTAAGGCATGGGCCCTATTAACGATAAAGCAGACTTTGATGCTGTGTGTCTTGAGTTATCCAGGAGTCAGGATTTCTCTTAGGACCTAGGGCAGGAGCTGAAGACAACGGGATGCTGTTTCCTTCCCACCAGTGGGTATCACCAGTGCTAGGAAACCTTTTTTTTTTTTTTTTTTTTTTTTGCTATTGATCTTTATGCATGTTGCAAGCGTTGTTCCTTTAATGTTTGTTTTCACTAGCTAGTCTTCACGACTGTTCATTTCAGGAGGGTGTCTGAGTTACCATGTCAGCTGCCGGGGTGCTGCATGCTCTCTGCCTGCCTGCCTGTCTGTCTCTCTGTATTGTACATGTGCCTATATGTATGTGTGGAGTGCAGAGGTTGATGTCTTGTGTCTGCCTCAATTGCTCCCTGTTTTATATTGAGAAAAGATCTCTCACTGAACCTGAAACTCACAGGTTTGTCCTGACTGGTTGGCCTCAGGAGTCTTCCTGGCTTTGCCTTCCCAGCCCTGGGGTTACAGATTTGTGCTGTCTTGCCTGGCTTGTAAAAATTGTTCTTCGTTTAAACATTTAAAAAAAGTCAGATTTGGGCCCTGATATTTGCGCAGCAAGACTTTACTGACTGAGCCATCTCCCCAGACGACAGTTCATGCTCTTATGCATCCTTTTGTGCCCACATACCCACCCATTCTGCAGCTAGGCTGGAGGAATCCACCCTTCCTGCCTCCCAGCCACAGCCGAGGTGCTTCAGAGGCAGAACAAAGCATGCTGCCTACACTCTGACTCCAGCACCCAGCGGGCCACCATAGCCTTCCAGGGTCAGCAAAGGAGAGCACGCTTCATCCTGTTCCTTGGAGGTCATGCTGCGTTCTCATCTGTAAACCCAGCTCACAAGTCTTCTGCCACACCTGGTACAAGGTACAGGCTGGAGGCTGGTGCTGGTGTTGACCGTGGACTGCAGGCAGGAGGCATCAAAGATCAGAGTTGTTATCATTCTGATGCAATCGACTGGAACAGCGGATTTGCCAGCCCCTCCTCCCCTGGTTTAGATAACGGATCCGCCTAGATCAGCAGTGAATGCGTGAGGGGGAGGGTCGATTCTCCATGCTCCCCTGCATGTTCTTGCTGGGCATCTCAAGAGTGCACCATAGGGGCTGGAAGGATGGCCTGGTGGTAAAGTACTTGGGAAGCTGTGTTCACATTCCCAGCACCCACAGAAAAGCTGGGTGTGGCTGTGATTCACCTGTAATTCAGGGCTCTTGGAGGCTTGCTAGACAGCCGGGTTAGCTGGCCAGCTCCAGGTTCTGGGAGGGACCCTGGCTTAAAAGCAAGCAAAGAGCTGGGTTTGGTGGCACGCACCTTTAATCCTGGCATGGGGAGACAGAGGCAGGCAGATCTCCGTGAGTTTGGGGCCAGCCCGCTCTATACGTAGCAAGCGATAGTCCAGCCAGGGCTGCATAGTGAGATGCTGTTGCCAAACCAAAACAAACAATAAGGCGGAGAAGTGACTGAGGAAGACATTCCGACCTCTGGCTTCCAGAAATGGCTTCCAGAAATGCCTGCAGGGAGGAGCACACCTACACACACGTGTGTATACTTTCATAACGACACCCCACTCACACACATGCACAACACACTCACGCAGGCACTCACACACAAAAGCAAAACCCTGTTTGTTCTTCCTCGAGGTCATTCCTCAGAGGAAGGTTTGCAGTGGGGTGTTTTTGAGGGACTCCTTCTGCAAAAAGAGAAGGAGCGCTTACCATTGTCTGGGAGCACGCGTTTTAACCGAGCTAGGCGTTTCTAGGCTGCAGCATAAAC